GGCGTTATGGTTGACATATGACAGAATTGTAGGTCAGCATGTAGCGGGTAGTTCATCACCAGCCCTGGTTGTTGCGTCTTCGTAATGGCAGGGGCAGCCACGGCCGCTTGGGCGGTCTCCGCTGACCGTTCATCAAGCTGAGCTTCCGGATCTGGGCAAGCCTGCAGAGTCATGAGGGAAAGTTGCATGTGAGATCCCGCGACTACATGCAAAAGAAGTAGATGTGTACCGTCGTAATCCTGCCCAGGCTACCGATCCAGCCACTACCCCAGACAGAGCAGTCATGCCCAAGAAGCCCCAATCCGTCTCCTCAAGGGTACTTTTCAACTAGATAGCAGTACGATAAGCATGGCCGAAGAAGCTGCTTAGCTTGCTACGGAAACTCACGTTCATCCCGAACAGACCGGCAACCAACGCGCCAGCTCCGAGACCCATAGTTCCTATTGATACCTAAACCAAGCTTGGTGAGCGGCTAAACTGATACCAGCATCCCGCGCTGCACACGGACCTTGAGATCTAGTGCGAGTAGTGAGTTACGGTTCGAGTCAAGCATTAGCTCCACGATTTCTTGCGTGGATTGTACGTTAGCCTGCTCAACATCAGCCGGATAGCGACGCTACATGGAGGCAAACTTACATCTATATTATTTGCTTCTGTTACTATTTCTTCTACTTGTTTTGAGAACGACTCGAGCAGGACCTCAAGCTCGCTGTGATCGTGTGCTGTATGGGTCTGGCTTTCCTTCTTCTCCGTCAGGCACATTGCATCGAGGTCCTCATCTGCCCGCTCCTCAGTAAAAGGTACTGGTTATAAGCCGTCGAACGTGCCTTGCTCCAACACCTCATCAATGGCCTGCTGCACCTGCGAAGATGCGGGTATGAGACATGAGAAGCAGTTGCCCCCACGCGCAACGACGTACTAGTTTAGCACGATTCTGAAAACTCGCAAGACGCCTAGAATAATGCAGCAACCGTTTGAACCTGTCGTGATCAATGTCGTCCTCTAGCTCTGCCAAAAGGCCGCCGACCAAATTCCGTATGAAGACCATTTCTGCCTCCAATGCGCTCAAAACCGAGAGAAGGATAGAATCAAGGGCTCTAATTCTGGTTTAGCGGATGCGCAATGCCAGAACTATGAGACTTACCGGAATTCATAAGGAGATCCTGAACCTTTGGCTTTCAGATTATGCTAGATAATGAAATCAGAGAAGGCCAGAGGTTACAGAGTCAGCCGTACCTCAAGGTGATACAGAAAGACCGAGTGAAGGCGAGAATCAACGGACCCGTATGTGTCAAACAAGATGACAGTGTCTGCCTTGACTAGTGCTCGAATGTGAAGAATGTTGACCTGTAGGCATCCGCACTCTTGAGAGGAGTTCAAATTTGCAGCGGCGAGACGTAAGTACCAGAAACGCCTGTTCGCGAACAAGTATAGTCGCAACGAGGTTCGGGGTCCTGGAATCGATCTTACGCAAATCACGAGGCTTCATGTCCGATGAGCTACGGACTCTGCTTGACTGATGCCACGACTTACGTTTAGACCATGTTCGCTGCATAGGATCGACTTTTTAAATTGTCCAGAAATTGTCTTCACGTTCCCTGCGCAGGTATGGACATGAGGTTGGATTATAAGCGGGTTTCATTATGAATATAGTACCTTCAAGATCCAGGACAGTGCCTGGAAGTTACTTGGGTTAATAATATAGTGATTAAGATATTGGAAAACGACTGACACTTAAGCATGAGATCCGTTGGCTGACGCCCCTTCATAGCTTTTTCCAAGATAGCAGCTTTCGCAGCCTCCTCTTGTCCTTCAGCAAGCCCTGCAGGCGACTCGACAGGTCCAGTATTCCGCAACCTAGAGAACCATGACATCTTCCGCCGTCCACTCCCGGCGACTGCCCTGACCGAAGACGAGAATTTTCTCTGTTGAAGTAAAGAGCATTGCAATAAACCTCTTCTGGAGAGCAGTTTCGACCGATTGAGATTCAAAGCGAGGAAAGGTGCCGACATTCCATGGCTAGTGCAAGTACGAGCAGTCCACCGTGGCCCAGAGCATTGAATTTTTGGGATCCTACCCAAATTTGCCATTACATGGTGTGCTCTCGCTGATCGTTGGGCCGTATGCATGCGCAGGATTTGACAGACTCAGCGCAAGCTCAGAGACGCACAAGAACGCATGCGCCGTACAGGGCGCAAGTATGCCCAGGCAAAACGTTTTGGTAAGTATTCCGCATACAATAACTCAAATAGGCTTATATTATCCATAATGACCTCATTTTGAGCACCTGATAAGTCATTATGTAAGCAAGGTCACGCGCCTCACTATCCCCCGCCACCACTTCCTTTCCGGGTGATTCCTCCCGGACATACTTACTGTCTCTGCTCCCTTTAAACACGCGCCGGCGAAAGGACCCACCGGCAGGATATGTCCGAAAGGATGAATCAAGGGCTTACCACTGCCCTCTGATTTTTCTTCGCTGCAATCCATCTGCGTTTAGGTATAATGCTCTCTGCGATACACAGCTGCGACGAGTGGACTCTAGCGGATTGACGACCGTGTCATTGCGCCTATACTCCGCAACACTTCGGCAAGAGACGCGCCTCGGAGGGCCCCATTCCTATCGGCTGTTTGATAGCCCTTACCCCTGCTTGTTAAATGAGCTCTTGTCGGTGATCTCAGGTAAGGCATGTGACGGCATAATCCCCAGCCCGTTCCCCTTCTAAGGCTATAAGAACCCTCTTAACCTTCTTAACGGACGTGATCGGCCAACGCCGTATCGGCAATTGAATCAGATACGTATCTGCTGTTTCTCCACGCCTGGTCTCTTGGGTCAGGCAAACCAAATACATATCACTATTAAAATACCCTGGTCCCCTTTCTGTTGCTGTCCGCACCCTCTCCACGCGACTGTATCATGTATTGGCCTTGAGCCTTGTAATTGTTTCGCTTTCCGTGGATATGCACGACACCACTCGACTTTTGGAAGCAGCCGCTGCCTTGTCTGAACTTCTGCGCGCGAACGACGTGCCCCATGCCTTCTACGGAAGCATAATTGTCGCCGTGATGGCCAACAACCCGTATACCGAGGTAAGTAGCCGAGTCCATATATCGCCGATGAGTCTCTCTAATAGCTGGTGGCTCAGGACATGTACTGTATCGTCGAAGGCGGGCTGTCTCATCCATTTCGACGTGTACGGCAGGCTGTCTCCGGTAATCACCTTATAACGACCGTCGCATCTCCATGGTGTAACCGGTAGGCTGCCTGGTTGATTCAAAACTCATTTGAATTCTTATGTCGTCCGAGCCAGGTTGCACACACTGTATCATGGGTTCATTCCACCCATAGAGGTGGGTGAGAGTGATTGACCGATGACTCTAGAGCTGATTATTTGTGCCACTATAGATCGAGATCCTACGCGCCGGGGAGGAGGGACCGCGCAACGTCGATGCCAGCACTACGACAATGATTCGAGGGATTCCTTTCCTCTCTATCACGGAATTCCTACGTGCTAAGGTCAAAGCATGGACAAGGTTCGTTGCGCTGGACTTGACGTATCCGCAGAATCTCACCGTTGCCCTGGATAGTCGCCAGTCAGAGCAGGACGCCGAAGACATCTGTTATGTCGTCTCCCGCTATTGGAATCGGGTGGATTACAACCGCATACCCGAAGACGACATGAATAATTTCGCGAAGTCTCATAGCTCGGTTTCACCGGCATGGGCATCTATCAAAAAGAAGTACTGCTCTTGAACCAGGCGTACCTACTGCAGGTACCTCTCCCACCTACTGTATGGGTCCACAGAGAACGCTTCACAATCTGCCGCTAATGCATCCATGCATACCCTATGCTACATGGAGACGGAGGAGACGGACTTCGAGCCAAGGAGTTGAAGGCGGGGAGGGAGAAGACATGCATACGTCACTCGGACTGCATCTGCTGTGTATCGGTATCAGTGCACGGACCCGGAAAACATATGCCTCATGCGATTTAGCGTCGGTGATATACCTTTAGGGCTCCTTCTGCGGTACGACGAGTGCCCTGATGCGCACTGAGCTACCGATACAGGCTCCGTACAAAGCAGGACCTAGGGCGATACAACATATGATTGGGGCCGTCCTCCCGCTGCAGTTCTGTCCCACATGACTGGATGGCGGGAGACGTTATATCGACGCGGCACTCGTCCTTCAATGTCAGAGGTAGCATCGAAAAGGAGCGGCGCTTGTCCGTCAAATCCGCTGTCACTTCGGCATAGATATTCAGTGGGAGATGCCTGCAAGCGAGGTTTGTGGACCTGGAGGGGTTCGAGGCGGTGCTTCAGTAGATTTGTCGATCCGAAATGAACAGATAACTCGCCTTCATTTGTCATATACAGCCACCTTCGGGGTCGGCGCTATTCTTGCATTGCGAGCATGTTATGGCAGTAGAAAGAAAGAGATCGTCGGTGCTTACCATACATAATATGAGGTTGCGCAGCAGCGAAAGCCTGAAGGGCGAGGGCCTGGCCAAAGCAAGCCGACGGGCCGGGGGCTTCGGTGGGATCAAGTTCGTAGTGTTTCCGGTCCGCTAGACCTAAAGCACGATAACCTCCAGATAAACATTTCCACCTTCACGGCAGTGCGGAAAAGAGATAGAGGGCCCTTGTAAAGTATATATCGCTTTACGGCTGACGCAGGTCATCGCTGAGTATATTGAGGAAGAGAGCAGCCGGTCTGAAAGCCAGTCTCCGCATGAAAGCCCACACGTTTATACGGAGGCAACGGCCGGATCTTGCAAGGCTAGGTGCTAAGCTGAGCTGATAGGACACGTAATATGTCCCGGCGGTGAAGGTTGCACAAGTCTCGAGATGTGAAACCTCCACGTCCAGACCCGGGTCTTGAACTCAACTTTCATCGAACGAATCGAGATCTGCCAGTCCACGTGCCTCTCCGTTCTCCCACGTCTCGGCCTTCGGGCGCTGCACTTATTCTGTATAACTAAGTACTACAAAGCCGCAATGGTTCAGTGGTCTAGTGGTTATGATCTCTGTCTTACACACAGAGGGTCCTCAGTTCGATCCTGGGTTGAACCAGTTTTTTGCTTATCACTTTACGGTTGGTCGTTGCAGCAGACCACGTCCGTAGGGACGAAGGGTCGAAAGATATTCGATTGGTCACGGACGAGGTGAGAGGTAGTACTACAAAACACAGACAATGCTCAATTATGTGAAGAGCTTGTTCACTGATGTGCTTCCTTCCTGACTCTTCTTGAGGACCTGCACCATTCAGGTCAGACAACACTTCGTATTGCAAACACCCTCCGCACTGACCTTTGCTATAGCGAACTCGAAGTCTTCTTGTGTAACATGCTGTCTCCGTTCACGCAATGCGTACATACCTATGAAGACCAGACTGAGACTGCTAACATCTATCGAGCGGAACCTAACACTTACCAGCCTCCGTACAGATACCCCTGACTTCGGCACCTGAACACTGGCCCATCTTCTCCGCGAGAGCACGAAGGTTGATACCACGTTGCAGCGACATCTCCCGCCGGACCTTAGTTGACGCAGAATAAGACGTGCAGAGGAGAACACACCTTGCGAGAATGAATTCGGAGGATGGCAACACGAGCCTCAGGGCCAGGGGGAGGGAATTCGATTTTCCGATCTATACGACCAGGGCGAAGCAAAGCCGGGTCGAGGATATCTATGGACTTCTAGGTCAGCGACCGGTACAGATACCGTGGTAAAGCAGGAGTAATCCGGCACCTATTCGGTTGGTGGCCATGATGACCTTGATATTCTTCGTCGGCTCAAAACCATCGAGCTGGTTCAGCAGCTCCAGCATCGTCCGCTGGACTTCCGAATCACCACCGCCAGATCCACTTTCTCCTCTTGAGCTACCAATGGAGTCGATCTCGTCCATGAAGATGATGCTTGGAGCGTGCTCACGGGCCATGACGAAAAGCTCACGGACCATACGACTACCTTCGCCGATATACTTCTGTACCAGCTCGGAGCCAGACACGCGGATGAACTTGCAGTCGGTATGGTGTGCAACTGCACGGGCCAGAAGTGTTTTTCCAGTACCTGGAGGTCCGTAAAGCAAAACACCCTTCGGCTGGGCGATACCAAGAGACTCGAATAGTTCTGGGTGCTTGACGGGCAGTTCAATGACCTCCTTGATTTCCTTAATCTGCTTGTCCAAGCCTCCGACCATCTCGTACGTGCTGTCGGGAACCTTCTCGACCATCATGAGGGAGACGAGAGGGTCCACCTTATTCGGAAGGACTTTGTGGATTGTGTACGAGTCGGAGCGGAGGGCGACCCGTAGACTCGAGGTCAATGTCGAAATATCGATCTCAGAGTCAATGTCCACAACTTTGTTAGATGGAAACATCAATGTTTGCTATGTGATAACGGCGCGTCCACGTACTGTATTTTCCCTCGGGTTGTACCTTGACTAGCACTTTATTCTTGCCCATGACCTTCACAACCTCGCCCACATAGCTGCCGGGCTCATGCAGCAGCTGTAGCTCCTCTCGTAGCAGGCGGACTGGCGCCGCCTAAGTAAATCATAGAGGCGTATCAGTAATTGCACATACCTCGAGCATTGAGGGCGTTTCTCTGTGCTTCCAGACGCCGTAAATTCTGGGTCTTCTGGTTGATGGTGATCTCTGCGGCTTCAATCTTCGCCTGATAGTACGACTTGAGGCCGACCGGCGCGGAAAGGGCTTTGACGGACATTGTGACAGTGGGAGTGGCTGACGTCTTGAGACGAGACGCGTATACGCGTATACCTCGATCTGCAGGTATTTGGCTGTATTTGGTCATGCCACACTTGCAGCCACAGTTACTGACGCTGTGTCTGCAGCGTTGCATGTAGTATGTGGTTCCCGTCAAGCGATAAGTCACGCTGTTAGTAGCAGTGGAACGCCGTATTTTCAGCTAGGGCAACGAAGTCCTTCGCATGTGATGCAATACGTAGATGATAGACAGCCATGAGCAGGGCTTTAAATTAAAACTGCAATTCCTAGTCCGTCGGACCCAATGGTGACGGCCTCCGAACGTATACCGACATGTTCTCACAGGCGAATCTAATAGACACGAGTAGTACATCGCTAACGTCCTCCCAAGACAGGTCTGCAGGCAATTCGTCTGCCTTGTAGGCGTCAATGATCTGGCTATTGAGACGCATATGCCCCAGGCTCTCGACAAGCTCCTCGTCTGCATGAAGGCCCATGTCCTCCGCAGCGGGGTCTGCCATTGCAGCATGCATCCAGCGGTCGGCGCAGGTAGCCATAGCCATCAGCAGCTCCCGACCCCGGGCGATATCGGAGCCTGGCTCGACCTCCGAGTTTCTGAATTCCTTGAATGATAATAATCAGCATAGTTTGCATATGTAGCACCTGATACCACAAGCTTACTTCATATTTAATTGTGTTCGTGTATCTTGTGAAGAACATCAGGTTCATTATTATTGCTTTGAAGTAATTCACCGGTAAAGGGTCGGAATTTCGGCTTAGCCTGCGGAGAAACTCGTGCTCGTACGCTGGAGTCCAATGCACAGCGCGTCCTTCCAATAAATGCAATGCCATCAATGTATGCAACTTGTTAAGAGTCTCGCGATCAGAAGGCTCTGCGGATGCTTTGCACCTGAGGCTGGTTGCGTGAATGGATGCCGGCGACTTGCCTGGAATAGGTGTGAACGAACGTATGTTATCGCATAGATGGTGAGCATACTATGGAATGTTCTGCATGCTATGCTAGGAGCACGAGACGATGCATGAAACAGCTGCGTCGACAGATGATGGCCAATGTCGGAATACGACACTGCCAGGACGTACCAAGGGTACAGTAGAATATCTCTTTGTCGCCAGGGCACTAAACTGGGTACACTCTCGCCTGCACACAATTGTGCGAACCACAAGACCCATCATAGTCGAAATTCTCGAGTTCTAGAGAGCACACGAGCTGGAAGTATATAGAGACCAGGGCTGCCAGCGATCAATCGATCGTGAAGGGGCGACGAGTGATTATCGGCTTTTGCCGGTGCCTTCTCTTCTGTCCGTTGGCGACGCGCGAGTCATAAGTCCGACAGCAGTACTGTATGCTCAATGCAAATAAAGCATCCACCCACGATGTGGCAAAGAAATAGGTACACCATCATGCCTTTATAGCAGATGAAGCAGTATAACTATGACCCTATATCACCACTGCCAGCATCATGTCAACAACATTAGCTATTAAGTATACGAGTTGATGAAGCCAGTACAAGGATACCAGTGACAGTTTCCCGCACCGCAGGGAGAATTACACTACGCACGAAATATTACAAAGCCTTGCTAGATGCTCCTTTTCGAGTCAAGCTTTGTCGACGGGCTTCCGAGCACGTCCTCTTCATCATCATGCCGCACACGCTCTTCATCATCGATAGTCGAGAGAGCAACAGGGGTCGGGCGTGTCTTGTGCGTGGGTTCGTCTGGAGCCAACTCGGCAGGATCGGTCCCTTCTGAGGTGCGACCGCGGCTGAACGAGAAGAACTTCAGGTCGAAACTATCGGGGAAGGTCGAGCGGGAGTGACGTTGAATTTGGATCGGCATCGACGGCATCGTGCCTTGCGTATAAGGGTCGGTCGACTCTATACTCTCGCCGTTTCTGAAGAACGCGTAGAGGAAGGTCGTGATGACAAGAAGGTTCGCGACAATCAGCGATACACCAGCCTGGTCAAGAATGATGAATGAGGTCCTATCTCGGAGAGGGAAATCGATGTCGCTACGCACTTCGATGTGGGCGGTGATGCCCTCATACAGGCCGGCTATGCCCATAACATAGATAGCGTGCGGGATACTGACGATCGTAGTGATTATACTCGTACAGAAGATCGTATACAGGAGTTTTCGCTGGTTCTTGGGAATCCTGACGTTCCATAAAAGACGCAAGGGGATTGTGACAAGAGTGACGTCCGCAAATATGTCCGCTAGGGCAATCGCAAGGTCAATATTACCATATTTCCGCCACAAGTGTACCTAGGACTTACTACATAGCTCGGTAATAGCGACGTCTTTACCAAGATGGCATTGAAGTGAAGGAGAGTGAGTCCAGCTTGTGTTGTAAGCGCATCGATAGATCTTCTGTATGAGAAGGGCGACCCAGATAGCGGGAAATATGACCAGAAGCGCGTTCATAATGATACGCATGTGGAACATCGGTGGCACGATCCGCACAATAGAAAGTAGGATGCTCATGCGAGCGGACCTGACAATAATTGAGATTAAGATGCAAGCCCTGGATCAGCAGCGAGACGTTACTTACCAAAGAATCATGGTAAAGGCCAATGATACGAACCAGTAAGAAACAATACGAGCGCCAGGCGGTTCATCTAAAGGACCGACACCTGGAGCAAAACCGGAGCTTAAATCAGTTGATGATACCAGAGGGTGCGAGAACGAAGAGTAGAGGTTAGGCCAATAACAGTGAGACACCAGCACCATGGGCAGAGAAACACGACACAGCCATAAGGCAGGCTTCAGCATTTAGTCAATACACTTGTTGTGTGAAGATGTGGGCTGCAATCGTCGTTTGAAGTGGAGCAACACGCAGCTGTCAGCGTCACAGCATGGCAGACGAGTATTACCATCCAGCATCGCTCTCTCCGAAGGAGGAAGCCATCCTCCACCCTCTACAAACATATGTTAATGGCAAGATGATTCTTACCTGGGCTATCGGTTCGTATCCAAATTGCAACAAGAAAGATCAGACAGCAGATCATAGATATGCCTGCCATCCCATCATCCCACCAGAACCGCTTTCGACGCCAGCGGTAGACGAGACGGAATGCGGTGCTCAATATAGCGATCGGGTGGACAATCGTTACCGCAACTACGGTGTCCCATTAGCGTCAAAGGGAGTCTGCGAAGTGAAAACTTGACATACTCCGCACGTCAGTGGCAGTGATTGGCATTACAGTGTTTCAGCATCCAGGGGCTCCTCCCGACGCGCTAGAGCTTCGTGGTGGTCGAGAGACAAGGTGGAATGCTTGACGACAAGAGAAGGGGCATGTCCTATCTCTGCACGAGTGGGCGACGCTC